GGGCGCCTGTAGTCCCAGCTACTTGGGAGCCTGAGGCAGGAGACTCGCTTGAGCCCAGGAGTTGGAGGTTGCTGTAAGCTGTGATGCCATGGCACTCTACCCAGGGGGATAGCTTGAGGCTCTGTCTAAAAGAACAGAAAGTAATATCTCCTGAGGACACCTGGACCCCAGCCCACATACACCCCAACTCCTGGCACCTATTCAAAGGGTCTTCAGAGCACAGCTGGTGGCTTCCCCCAGTGCCCAGCCCTGCTTGGTGGGCCTGCCTGCCCAGGCAAGAGTCCCTCCTTCCCACTGCTGTAAACACTTGTGACAGTCTCCATGTTGTTCCTCTTCTCAGCCTGGATCAGGCTCCAGGGTGGTTCAGGGGAAGGTTGGCACTCTGAGATGCCCAGAATTGCCTCTCGGCCGCATCTGACCATTGTCGCTGACAGTGCGTGACGGAAGTGGCTCACCTCCAACTCACCACCTGCTTTGTAGGGCTCTTAAGCTGAGAATGGTCTTAACATTTTTAGACAGTTCAAAAAGAACCAAATAAGAAATTTTGTAACATGTCAAAAGTATATAAAACTCAAATTTCAGCCTGGAAAAAAAAAAAAAGAAAGTAATATCCCAGTGGATGTTAGAGTTAGACCCAAGCAATATATAGGCTAGAACCTGGAAGGAAGGTTGTATTCCAAATCGACCCTCAGCCTAGATTCCCAAAAACACCCTCACAACTATTGCAGCCACTGGAATCATGGGGAGCCCAGTGACTCTTGGGGGCTTGAGGACTGTGTCATGCTCCTGTATGTGGGGATGTGAAATGATGCACAGTGTGACAGGGACAAAGCTGGCTAGATCTGTGAGACGAGGCAAAGCTGCTAACTGCCCAGTGCCCCAGAGCCATACCCACTGCCTCCCTTGGAAATTAGAGTGCTGAGCACCAGCCAACCTGACCCCTGATGCCCACTGCCAAAGATGATTTCTTCCCTGTCTACCACTACTGAGCCCTATCCACTGCCTGCACGCTGGACCTTCACTCCAATATCACTATAACCCCAATCACAGGCCTAATCTTCATCAACTCCAAAATCCCTGTTCCTGGGTCCAGGGGCTCTGTCCCCATTTCTCTCCTTGGTCAATGTCAGTTGACTAAGGGTGGAATAGTTTGGTTTTCCTGCTGTCTCTCCCAGACTGGGAGCTGTCTTTGCAGGCTGATGATGCATCAATAAATGTTTCAGAAATGAATGTAGGCTCCTGGATCTGGTGATTTTTTTTTTTTTTGAGCAGTCTCAAGCTGTCACCCTGGGTAGAGTGCTGCAGCATCACAGCTCACAGCAACCTCCAACTCTTGGGCTTACGCAATTCTCTTGTTTCAGTCTCCCAAGTAGCTGGGACTATAGGCACCTGCCACAACACCCAGCTATTTTTTGGTTGTAGTTGTCATTGTTGTTTGGCAGGCCCGGGCTGGATTCGAAACCGCCAGCTAGGGTGTATGTGGCTGGCACCCTACTCACTAGAGCTACAGGTGCCAAGCTGATCTGGTGATCTTTTTAAGCTGTATCCCAGAGACCCTGGTGTGATCCCTGTGAGTGACCCCTAACTTCTCTAAATGAAAACTGCACTGGACCAGGAGGACTTGAATGTAGGGACATATTCCCACTTAGTAGCTGAGCAGTGACTCAATGGAGGGTGCATTTGGAGGAGCCACTTTTGTCTTTTTGGAAGGAGGTCTGTGCTGAGATATTTCAAAGGAAGCCTCATTCCTTGAGAAGACTGTCACTCTTAGCAGCCTGAGACAGGTCCTGAGGCAGGCAGGGGAGGGCTGCCCCCATTAGATGAGCAGGTCCCTTCTGCCCGAGGTACCTAGGGCCTGTGACCATTGGGTGGGGTGATCAAGAAATATATCTCAGAGAAGGTGTTCTTCCAAGGAACAGTGGAATTTCAGCAAATGAAGCTGAAAAGGGAGGGCTTTCCTCATGCCTATGAATTGCCACTGCATTCTACTCTGGGCTAATACACAGGAGACCACATGTGTATGTGTGCACATGCATGTGAGAAAGAGAGAGAGAAAGGGTGGGAGGTTGGAAGGTGTGGAGATGGCTGAACCCACACAGGGGTGTGGGGTGCACAGAGCCTGGCTTTATCAACCAGGGACTTTTGATGTGAATTCACCCTGCACTCCCAATCCTGAGGAGCTAAGGGCCCTCCAAGAATTTCCCATGGAGATAGGTCCAATTGAAGACAGACTGGCAGCTTCTAGCTCTATGCAGAACTGAGTTCAGAACTATAGGCAGCCATAGGCTCCCAGGCTACCAGGCTGTTACAGCATCAACTGAGCAAGAAGAGGAGGATACGCTTTCCACATTCCCTGGCCTGGCAAACACCTTGTGTTGCTATAACCAGCCAACACCCAGACCAAGCACTGAATAAGAGCAGGGACTGCCTGACCCACCTACTAGCCTGAACACCACAATGATGGATTTCCAGACATTTCATTTGTAGGATGGTATGAGTTTCTTACTGAAACTATAACAAATATCACTGGGCCAAAATCAAGGTGTCACCAGGGACAGGCTCCTTCTGATACCTCTAAAGGAGAAATCATTTCCTTGGTTTTTCTTCTGGCTCCTGGAGCCATGTTCCTTGTGTTCCTTGGTTCCTGGACCCTTCCTCCATCTTCAAAGCCACTAGGGTAACATCTAGCTTCCGTGGTGACAATGCCTTCTTTTGTATTAAATCTTTCTGCCTCCTTCTTATAAGAACATTTGTGATTGCATTTAGGGCCCAATCAGAAAATCCAGTATGATCTCCTATAATTCTGCAGTGCGATTCTCTCACTAACCACCCAGAGCTAGTACAGATTCCACCTGTAGGTTAAAGACACAGTCCCCATCAAGAGGGGACTGCTCTCATTTCATATCAGCCATAGGTTCCAGGGTCTCTAAGCCACCCACATTTCTGACCAACTGACTGTGAATTCAAGGGTTCTTACGGTACTCTTCAGATTCCATAATTCACTAGAGTGACTCCCAGGATTTAGGAAAGTGCTATACTTAATGATTAAAGTTTTATTAAAAGTAAAGTATGAGGAGTCACATGTGACGAGGTCTGGGAAGGTCCCAAACACAGAGCTCTCATATCCTGGCCCCATAAAATCCGGACCCATCATCCTCTCCCCACAGTGATGTGTTTACCAGCCAGGAAGCTCCACCAAATTCTGTCCTGAGTTTTTATTGAGGTCTCATTACATAGGCATGATTTTTTTTTTTTTTTTGAGACGGAACCTCAAGCTATCCCCCTGGGTAGAGTGCCATGGCATCACGCTCACAGCAACCTCCAACTCCTGGGCTCAAGCGAGTCTCCGGCCTCAGCCTCCCAAGTAGCTGGGACTACAGGCGCCTGCCACAACGCCTGGCCATTTTTTGGTTGCAGCTGTCATTGTTGTTTGGCGGGCCCGGGCTGGGGATTCGAACCCGCCACCTTAGGTGTATGTGGCTGGCGCCTTAGCCGCTTGAGCCACAGGCGCCGAGCCCATAGGCACGATTGACACTGGCCACCTGATTAAACTCCATCTCATCTCCTTCATCTCCCCAGATGTCAAATGGCTAAAACTCCCAACCCATGTGGTTGACATTTCTGGCATAAACAGTCCCTTTCTTAGGGCATTTCCTCATTATAACCTCACATGTGGTCCAGAGCCCCACCAGGAATAACAACGACACTCCTATACTTTGGAAATTCCATGGGCTTAGACTAGTGATTTTCAACCAGTGTGCTATGAGAAGATCTTATGTGTACCACAAAAATTTTTAAATATCATTAATCAAATAATTTTTGAAAGAAGTTCAAAGCACAGTAAGTATATTCTTTTTTTTACTCTTTTTTTTTTTTGAACAATGTAAGTGTGCTGCAGAAGTTTAACTATAGGTTCAAGTGTGTCATGAGATAAAAAAAGATTGAAAAGCACTGGCTTAGATAATTCCTTCCAGGAACCAAGAACAATAACCAGACCAAAAAAAAAATTTTTTTGAGACAGTCTCATCATTGCTGGGGCAATGGTCTCATCATAGCTCACTTCAACCTCAAACTCCTGGCCTCAAGCAATCCTCCCATCTCAGCCTCCCCAAGTGCTGGGATTACAGGCATAAGCCACTGCACTGGTTCAGACAAATTCTTTATCATTCCCGCCAGCAGTGTAAAAATGTTCCCTTTTCTCCATATCCATGCCAGCATCTGCAGTTTTGAGGATGAGTACATGGTGGAGGATGAGGGAAAAGGTAGAACAGGGAGAAGGAAGCAGGGACGTGTTGGGGGTCTTGGTGTATGGCACACCTTTTGGAAGTGGGACACAATTATAAGTGGGTCTTTGTTTAACAAATTAAATCAATGTAACCAGGTTGTTTGTACCCTCAGTGAATCCCTAAGAGAAAAAAATAAAAATATATATTAAAAAATTCTTTATCATACAACATCTTTCAATCTTGAAATCCCTAATCACATCAGCAAAGTCTCTTTTGCCATATCTAACTTCCAGATACGGCACAGGACTAACCACCTGACAAAGACTCACAGGTGGGATGACATCCAGAATACTTACCTGGCAGCCTAAGCGCTTGATGCATTGGGTTAACTGATGGTCTGCAGGACTCACAGACAGATCTGTTTGAACTTACTGACAGTCAGATGGAGACTCCCGCCCAACTAGACAGCAACATAGGCAGACTGACTCCAACAGCACAGCCCCTGAAAGATTGTAATGACAAAGTACAACAGCAACACAGGTGAGCACAAGAAGCTGTGGAGTCTCTTCTTGGGATGGAGCTGAGAAAGCTTCATTCTAGACTCCGGGTAAAGCAGAAGGAAGAGGCCTCAGAGTTAAGCTAGAACTGCCCTGGGACACTGTCCATGGCATGAGCATGCTCTTAGCTCCTAGTGACCCAGATGCTGGGGCTACAGGAGCCCAGAGACCCAAGAGACTGGCCTGAAAATGCCCATCTTCCCCTCACCACCTGCCATGAGCATCCCTAATCAGCTCACAGGTGCTGCTCCCAGCTACCTGGCTCTGCCCACCTGCATCAGCGCAGGTACATAAAGACCTCACAAGAGAGAGTCAGATCCCAGGTCCCACGCTACCTGCCCCCCAACATTCTTTCAAGATTCAACATCCCTGGGGAAGAAGGGAACCTCTGGGGATTATTGGCCTTCAGTTGGCTTTTGTCCTCCTTGAGTGTCATGCCACAAAGACTGTATTCTCAAAGCTGAAAGGTGGAAGGTGCAGGAGAGCTCTCTAGGTTTTATTGTAGTTTGTCTGTTTATTTATTTGTTTGTTTGTTTGCTTGGAGACAGTGTCTTGCTCTGTCACTCAGGCTGGAGTGCAGTGGCATCATTGTGGCTCACTGCAACCTCAGACTTTTGGACTCAAGTGATCCTTCTGCCTCACCCACCTGAATAACTGGGACTACAGGTGTGCACCTCCATGCACATCCACTTCTTTGTATTGTTTGTAGAGATTGGGGTTTCACTGTGTTGCTCAGGCGGATCTTAAACTCCTGACCTCAAACAAACTTCCTCCTTTTGGCCTCTGAGAAGGCTGGGATTATTGATGTGAGCCACCATGCCTGGCCTCCACATCTCTTTTATAAGGGCACTAATCCTCTCCCAAAGTCCCCACCTCCTAACAGTATCAACTTGGGGATTAGGTTTCCACATATGAATCCTAGGATGGACACAAATGTTCAGACCACAGAAGCAACTTCTAGAAGTTAGATAAGGCAAGGAAATGGATCAACACCCCTCTAAGGTGACCAAACATCCCGCTTTTGGCAGGACATTCCAATTTTTAACAATTTGTCCCGTGTCCCGCAGCATTTTTAAAAAGTCCC